GACACTCCCTAGATTCTATCTCATTCATTTGTTCCTTTACCAAAGAGTTGCAAATTTGCAGAATAAGAAATTTAGTCAGAAATTCTATCTTAGAACGTCCTGAAAATAATCCAAAAAAACCGTAATTTTAAATTCATACTACTCCTAAATCATTTTGGCTACTCGAAATTTATTCCAAGTACTCCTCTAAAATCCAGTAATCCATTCAGCAAGTACTTGTTGAATGTCTGTCGTATGCAAGGCATCAGGGACGAGGCAAGAATAACTAAGACTCTTGTCAAGCGACTCTTTCTTTTCAGCAGAGAGAAGTCAGGTGGATGCATAAGCCTAATAGAAGTCAATCTCTAAATGACCTGCTGTAAGAGTTCAGAGAATGGGGCCAAACCTTCAGGCTAAAGTGTTTGGGAAGACTTTATTAAAGAAGCATATCATAGAATATTACAGCCAGAGGGACCTTAGAAAATACCCATTCCAATCCTATCATTTTACAGACAAGAAAATGAAAGGAAAGAAAAATAAAGCCCTTTAAGGAGGAAGAGCATCTACCCAATATCACATACAGAGTAGAAAAATCTGGACATTCAGAAAGTACACCTCTGAGTTGGGGGGGAGTGTGGTATAGCTCAGTGGCAGAGCGCCTTAGCAAGCACGAGGTCCTGGGTTCAATCCCCAGTACCTCCATTAAATATGTCAGTCAGTCAGTAACTAAATAAATAAATAAACAAACCTAATTATTCTCCGTCCCCCACCAAAAAAAAAAAAAAAAAAAAAAAGAAAGAAAGAAAAAGAAGGTATGTCTCTGGATGCCCAGTCCTCTGCTTTTCCATGATCCCACATCACCACTCTGAGATTGCAAGGATTTCAATAGGCAAAGACAAGGGAGAGAGAGAAGAGAGCATGTTGGTGGAGACTGAAGGCTGAACTACAACAGGACAGAAAATTGAGGGGAGAAAGGAGACATTAGGCTGCAAGCAGAGTGCAGTCAGACAACGGAGGACGTTCTCACTAGATGATTCTGTAGCAGAATTAACTTCTAAAATCTCAAAGTTCCTTCAACAGTGGTATTATTATATGCCACTGATGGTCTTAGAGGTTTACAATGAAAGAACAGAACAGCCTTCTGACACGAAAAAGGCTAGCTAAACGTAGCAAATTTGTAATGACTACAATCTCCATTTTTTTGGTTTGTTTGTTTTTTGGGGGGAGGGAGGTAATTAGGTTTTTATTTATTTATTTTTAGTGGAAGTACTGGGGATTGAACCCAGGACCTTGTGCATGCTAGGCACACACTCTACCCCTGAGCTATACCCTATCCTCTCCAATCTCCATTTTTCTATTTTTCTCTTTCTCCAAAGTGGAGGGTGACCGACTAGGGGTAAAATAAGGTAAGACACTGTGTTCTGCTGATGACAGATGGGGTTTGTGACAGTGTGGACTGATGGACGTCTGTGATATCCCTGCCTCCTGCCTCGCTCCTTCTGAGCATCTTTTGCACCCTCGACTCAGTGGTTCCTTAGCCAACTCTAGGCATCCTGGAAATGTGTGGGATCTCCCAGCCTCACCAGGTGCTGGTGTCCTCCCATGCACCTGTAGAGAGGCAGCTGCTCTTCGCTGCACCCAATATCTAGCCCTTTGCCCTCGTGTCTTTTTCTCCTCTTTGGGACTAGAAACAGGCTAGAGGTAGCATACTAGATTTCACACCCACATTTGTACAGCACTCTAGAGTAATTACAAAGCACTTTCATAGCCTCTTTTTAATTTATGGTAATGCAGAAGCAAGCCTCTGTTCCACCTCAGCCCTCACCCTGTATAGCTCTCTCCAACCCCTCAGAGGTTAGAATATTCTCCCCTTCTCTCTGATTACTGGCTAGGTTCTAACTTCAACCTTCCAACCTAGACAACTCTAGTGAGTCCCTGACTCTGTTATCAAACTGAGCTGTAAACCCTGCCTTTACCAGGAAGCTCCTACTGCATCCCACCCACGAAACCCCAAGGGTACCAGTATCTCAGTATCATCCAGGATATTTCAAAGCTGCTTGAACATCATAGCTTGACCTCCAGGAACTTCTTTTTGAAAGTCTGCTCCTCAGCAAAATTCTTTCTCAAGCCCCAGCTCTGTAGGTTCTTGTTCTACTCTCTTCACCATGTTGATCTGCTGCTGTTGAGAGGCCAAGAGAATCTGTGTCTAAGGCCATTCAGGAAACAGCAGAAGACCTGAAAAGGATGCTCTGATTACACTAGGGTTTAACTACTTATAAAAAGTTTGTGAAGTACTCTCGATATAGAGCCACTGTTTCTCAAAGTGAGATGAATCATCATTTTTCAGAGGCAGATGAGAACCTGACCTCCTGGGCTTCAATATCAAGAACTGAATGTTGGACTGTTAACTGATATCCATCCTCCCACTCTGGTACACAGACTCATCAGGAAAAATGATTTTTCAGGAAATAAAAGTAGGTAGGGCTTTCCAAATAGCTGGAAAAACAAACATGAATAAATTATTGCTTTCCTTTTAATTCTTGTTTAGCAAAAAGTGAAACAAAAGAATGATAAAGACCTTTGTAACAACACAGTGACACACAGATTTAATTTTAACAGAGCACCTACTATGAGCCAGGCACAGTGTGAAGTGCTTTCTGCACATTATCTCATGTGATCCTTACATCAGCCCAAGAGAGTATATACTGTTTGTATTCCTGGATTAGATATCAGGAATCTGAGCCTTAGTAAGATTAGCAATCTGCCCGACGTCATAGCCATCTGTAGAAGAGTTACTAGTGGACCTCTACCCAGCTAACCTCCAAGCTTGTGTACTCAACCAGTAAACCACTCAATTGGCCCATTTTTATTTTTTAAAAAATCAAAATTTTGTAAGCTTGAAGGACTAAATAAAGAATATGTACTGTTTCGGTGGGGAGGGTGTAGCTCAAGTGGTAGAGCACATGTTCAGCATGCAAGAGGTTCAGGGTTCAATCCCCAGTACCTCCTCTAAAAGTAAATAAACTTGATTACCTACCCCCCTGACAAAATAAAATAATTAAATAATATAATAATAAATAAATAAAATATGTTTTAAAAAAGAATATATACTGTTTCTGTAAGTTAAAGGAAAGAAAAGAAGAAGAACAAACTTCTTCTGAAAGCTTGTTATCCTTAATTTAAGACTAATTAAAAAAACCAGAGGTGCTGTTCATTGTGAGTCTGATAATTCCATTAAGGAAAATTATCAGAAGCCTCTAGACATAAGATGTCCATCTATTCCCTCCATAAACACATATTAAATATCTACCATGTAGTAGGCACTAAGCCAGGAACCGAGGATAGAGAGATGAGCAAGAGAACCATGGCCCCTGCCCTTGAGGAGCATACAGACAAGTTGGGAAGACAGTCTTTCTGCATGTAAACACAGTAACATATGATGAGTGTGATGAATGGGAGGTGGAAGGAAGTCACGCAGAAGCAGGGGAAACCTGACTCAACTAGGGGCAAGGAAGGACCGCCCTCAGGGTGTGGGAAGGGGACTGGGAGTGTAGAGAGAAGAGCACATGCCAAGGGCCAGAGTGGAGATAAGAAACTGAAGGAAGTTCAGGATGGCTCAAACTAACACCAAATGCAAGAAAGGAGGGAGCCAAGGTTTAGGATTGGAAAGGCTGGAAAGGCTGCAGGACACCATAAATCAACCTGAAGACTATACCTAAGGGCAATGGGGAGCCAATTTAAGCAGAAAAAGAGACAGTCAGATTTTAGTTTCACAAGTATCAATATGGTTGCAGAGCAGAGTAGATCCCAGTGGGAGTATGTTGGGGAGCAATTATATCAGGGAACTCTGGCTGTAATCCAAGTGACAGGTGATGGATGATGAGCCGGGCTGGGGTGACAGTCATGGGAAAGAGTAGATACTTACAAGGTAAAATGGACAGGAATTGATGGAGGACTGAATGGGGGTGGGGGTGATTTAAGCTCTGAGGTAATTCTAAAGTTTAGAAGGTAGAAGACCCACTCTCATTGTTTAATTCAACCAGTCATTTAGTTGGGAAAAGAATAATTTTTGAAAACTTATTCCAACAAGGAAAAGAAACTCACTGCTTTTAAACTGTTACTATCATTTTTTCATTAGTACCTGAGTTCCGGCCATAACTCACCTGGTTACCAACCAATAATAGGTGTTCTCCAAGAAGAAAGTCTTTAAGCATATCTTCCATCACTACCATGTGCTGGAGGAAAAATGACTAGAGGTTAATTATTTTTGCATAATCAAGGTAAAACAAGAAAGTTAACTATAAAGATATCTTCATGGAAAGTAAAACATCTATTATAATAGACAATATTCAATTGCATTATTTAAAAAAAGTAAAATCAATGCTTTGGTTATAAATAAGTTATATAACAAACTAGATCACTAATGTTGGAAACCTGAAATAGTCCATCTGAGCAAGACTCAGCCACTGACCAATATGTATTTCAAAAAGTTTTTATAATTGAATTCAAATACTTTTCAGCTATTGCACTATGTAGAGATGGCTTATAATTTAATATAATATTTAAATTACACTTGCTAATGTAAATACACAAAAGCTGTCTAAAATAACTAGAGATATCTATGGAACATTTTACACTGACTTCTTCTTAACATTACCTTCAAAGTATATATATATATATATATATATGTATATGTATATATATATATATATCTTTAGAATTAAAAATACATTATTCACTTTCTATATTTTAAAATTCAAATCATGACAAAATAGAATAAAAGAACAAGATTAAAATTGTTCACAATAGCCACAGAGGAAATTACATTGCTCTTTTGCATCCTGGAAAAATAAGACAATCTTAAGTAGGTCACCAAGGCTCACCCACCCGGGGGTTGAGAGGGAACTGTATCGCAGAACGATTAATACCCCATTACTTTCTCTTGGTTTCTGCATCAAAACAAGAATGGTCTCATAAGCACTAAAGTTACTGAAGTTCTCTATTTATAAAAAAGGCAAATTAACCTTTTGCATCTTATATGTGCTGTAGGTATTTTTCTAGTTCGTCACTCATTTTTCTTTTTTTAACTTGGTTTGTAATTTTTTTTTGACACATAGAATATTTTCCTTTTACTTGTCACGTTAAGCGATACTTTCTTTCAGAGTTTCTTTCTTAGAAAAACTGAGTATGTTTTTTCCTTCCTTCAAGAATAGATGACTATTCCTTAATGTTTGCCTTGGTAGTTTTTATTTTTTAAAAATGCTTTCAGATAAACCATGGAACTAGAGTTTTAACAAGGCTTGAAATAGGGTTGAGCTATTTTGTTCATTCTGGATTACTCTGAAGAATAAAAAGAGACATTATTAATAATTATGCTGGGACAAAAAAGACAAACAGGGACTATTTTAAGCAAACCAAGGTACATGGTTACCCTAATTAAAAGGGAGCCATAGAACATTCTTTTAATCTATGTTCTAGTGATAATGTAGTCTGCAGACCTCTTCCATCTAAATAAGATGAAAAATTGGTGCCAATGTCCAGACAACATTAGGTTCTTCCAGAAATACTAATACGCGTGAAGGATAGGTAGGAAAGTTCGAATGAGCACCTAGAGAGAAGGTTAAAAAGCAATGTAAGTGCTGAAGAATAACCAAACTATACTTGTCTTCTCTACCTTTTCTCATGTCCTCCTACTTCATGGCCTCAGTACAACTAACTAGATTATTCAAATCAACAAGCATTAGCTAATGCTAAGGTCACTGCCTACAGAACTCTTTCCTTAACCTCTTGGCCATTGGGTACCATAGACAATTTCTTAAAAGTCTCCTCTTCCAGTCATCTGTCTCTCCTGATTCCCTCCCACCTCTCTAAAAATTTCTCTCTGTGGTCTTTTGGGTTGTACCATCTTCTTTTTTGTAGCAATTCCTTAAATATTGATTTTCTAGCTTCTTCTGTTTTCTCTCACTGCCTTTCTTTCTTGCTTTCCTGAGGGTGGAAAGGGGTTACAGTATAGGGCAGAGCAGGTTATGCCTACTGACACTGAGGCACCCAGCTGACGGGCGAGGGTGGGCTATGTGCAGAGTTGGGGACCCACACACCAGTGCTTGATGTGCTACTTCTGACCCTGCTCTACCTAAATCCTCTCATCCATTCCATGGCTTCAACCACCAACTTTACACTCATTCTCAACAGCAAGTCTTTTCTCCTTGACTCTTGTCCCAGATTTCTGAGCAACTATTGAATTATACTTGGCTACTTCCCAGTCTCCTTGAACTCAGCACATCCAAAATCTGGCTCATTACTTTCTCTTCAACTTTATCCTGTATTTCTTATTCCAATGAATAGCATCACTCTTGACCACCTGACCCTACCATCATCATCATCTCCTGCCCATTTCAATTGGCCCTTATCAAAAGCCAGTAACACCAAGTTTAAGCTATTCAGCCACCTAAAAGTCAACTGTATCTATCCTTTCTTTGGTATGGCCCCAGCTTTCATCTAGGTTGTTATCACCTCTGGCCTAGATTTTTACCAGCCAATGTGGCGTCTCTATCTTCAGTCTCTCCTTGAGTCAATGTGTTCTCCACGTTACTGACAGTCACTTACTTCTCTGTCCACAATCATGTCACTTTTGTTTTTCTCTTCCAAATTCTTTAAATGACTCCCAATACCTTCGGAACAATGGTCACTCCTCACCTTTTTGATTTAGTCTTAGCCTTACTCTCCACCACTCTGCTACCATGTGTTCCAGTCACAGGCATGATGTAGAAGAATTTTCTCTTTACTCTTCTGTTTACTTTTCCAGCAGACATGGAGTGAGGAAAAATCTCTGACTTTCATCTAACACAAAGTTTCATTGACTCTAAATAGCCCTGCAGTGTGTCCTCTCCACTCTGTCCCCACTATCACTGCCTTTGTTCAGATCCTTCATAACGCTTGTATTGCAAGAGCCTCCTAACTATTGTCTCTCTGCCTTGGTTCCAACTGAAAGGCAACATTAAAGAACGAATGCAAAGTTAGCAAAAGTGGAAACGTGCTTAAAATCCTTCAATGGCTTCTTCACTTCTTCTGAATAGGTTCCAAATTCCTTAATTAGCAAGGCCCAGATAATCTGACCTTTTCTTAAATTATCAGTTGCATCTCTTGTCACTGTTCCATATTTGCAACCTCAGCTCTGCCCGTGACAATTAATTAGACATAGCTCCCTAAATGAGGCTACACACTCATGTAGCCAAGCCTCTGTAGAACTGCTAGTGTCTTTGCCTGAGACTCTCCCTCAGCTTTGCCTAGTAAACTCATTTCCATGATCATTCCAACCTTGGACCATCACTTCATCAATGTTACATAGTAACCTGTGCGTACTTCCATCACCCTGTGTAATAATGACATGTACTTGCTTGCTTTTTCCCCTTGACAGATCCAGGCAACTTGGGTCCTGGAACTGTGTGTGTGTGTGTGTATTCTAATCTGTGTATCCTAATACCTTACAACAAGGCATGACACATGGTAGATGTTTAAAATTTTTTTTCAGATCTATCTCATTAGGCTTAAGAGGCTATTGATCTCTTTTCCTCAAAATTCTCCTCCTTACTACTGCAAGTGTAATATTCCTTAATGACAGATATAAAGAAATAATTTTCCTGATTATGATCATTCAAAATCTTTTTCCTTCTTTCATTAATCCACTCAACACATATTTACTCAATAGTTACTATGGGGCAGGCACTGTGTTACTTGCTAGAGATACAAAATTAAAATTTAAAAACAATTCAAGTCTTTACCATAGTGGTGCGGGAAACATGTTTTAAAAATCAATTACAACACAGTGTGGCAAGGGGGACCGCAGGGCATAGAACAAGATGGTACAGAAGCACATAAATACTCAAGTGGCACTGAAGACGACTGTTTCAGATGTGAAGAACAACATGAAAGGAAATAGTTACATATGCAACAAAAGCAAATTTAATCAAGCCACTGTTCCTAGAATTGGCACAGCTAAGATTTTTCATTAATGGTTAATTCATAGTGCTTTATGAAGAGAAGGTACGTTTGCAGACAGGCAACAGAAAATCCCCCAGGGCCACTCTGTGAAGTTCATAGCAGCCCTGCGGTCCTCAATGTCTATGTCACAAACACCATGGCAACAGACACAGTGTTCAAGGGCACAGTGGCCCTCCCTGCTAACTGAATTTCCTACATTCTTATACGCTGGAAAAACCAACTTTGGCAGTTTTTTGAATTGTCACTTATGACAGTTTCCTGATTCTTTTTTCTCTGTTCCTTTCCACTGCATAAACAGAACGTGACACCATAAATGCTTGGAAATATTATATTCTCCTTACAATCATGTTTTTGTCTTTGGCAAGCAAGATGCTTTGTTCCTGGTGTCTTGTAAGTAATCTTCTTTTCTGTTCATTTGTCCACTGCTTGTATAAGAGCATTAATGCTCTGGAAGAAAAATAAACCTGACATTGGTTAACGGCCCACAGAATGAAGAATAAAAAGCAAATCTAGGTTATGCCTTTTGCAAGGTCATAGATAATAATTATAGTTTGAAGAGATTTCAAAAACATTTAATCAAGATTTTTACTGAGAAAGAAGAATTTGCCTATATATCTTTTATTATTAATATAATATAGGGATGTAAATTATGGTATACACCATAATTATAGTTCAAATCTCTGAGCAACAAATAGGACTGGGAAATGGCAGACAGAAATTCTTTAATTTATTTTACTTTGATTCTCGAATTCCTTAATATAGTGAAAATGGTAAGTTCTTCTAACACAATTTGTAGATGTAGGATTATTTACATGCAGATTGGTATTAGAGAAAAATTTAAGTATGGCTTTTATTATAAAATAAGTACATAACCACTTGACAGAAAATCTGGAAAAGAAAAAAATCCTCTTATATGATGGGTAATTTTCTCTGGAAAAAATTCTTTAAAATTCTTATGAAGTGAACGTCTATAATAAAGCCTTCTATGTACACACTTATGTGACCAAGCAGGACCCTCTGGAGACCTCCTGGAACAGACCCTCCCCCTACACTATGTCCTCTGCCTGCCTCTTGTCTGTAGAAAAACTTTAGTCTCCTAGGCTGCCCCAAGTTCCAAAGAGTACATTTAGTCAGAGAAGTGAGAAAATGCAGAAAGAAACGAGTCAAAACAAGACAAAATAATAATAGTGTAGCCCTTAAACATAGTCAAGGACCTTTAGTTCCTCCTCAAGGGCTATAGATAACATTCTGAGCTATGTCCTTTGAGCTGTTTTGCTGATACTGAAACCCCCACCAGCTGGAAGAAGTTAACTGTGTTGCCCACAAGCACAAAGACCCCAGGCTGGTTGGAACCAGGAGGTTGATAATGCTGACTTCCAATTACCTCACCACCAACCAATCAGAAGAATGTCCATGAGCTGAACACACACTATAACCCCTCTCCCTCACCCTGTTTCTAAAAATCTTTCCCTGAAAGCCTTTGGGGGGTTTGGGTTCAGCTACCTGAACTCCTTGCTTGGTGACCTGCAATAAATGCTGTATTTTCCTTCACCACAACCTGGTGTCAGTAGATTGGCTTTACTGCACGCAGGCAAGTGGATCCAAGTTTGGCTTGGTAACACTTATTTCTGTGTCTTAGTGGAAGTTCCATAATTATTGGTTTGTTTACAAGTGGGAAGCTATCTACCCTCCTTCCTTAAAAGAAAAATAAAGGAAAGAATAGAAAAATACTAGGAATTTTCAGGAAGAGGAAAGGATGGGAGGAAAAGAATGCACAGGACACATCCTTCTTTGAATTACTTAAATGATTTTTAACTAACAGGAATGCAAAAGAGAGGATGAGTATTAGTGCTATTTTCAAAAAATTTTTTATTTATTTCTTATTGTATTTTTTTGGCTGGGGGGGAGGTAATTAAGTTTATTTATATTTAGAGGAAGTAAGGAGGTACTGGGGATTGAACCCAGGACTTGTACATGCTAAGCATGTGCTCTACCACTTTGAGCTATACCCTTTCCCCACTACTTTGTTTTTAATTTGATAATACAGTCATTTTATTTACTTAGAGGAAATACATTTACTTATAGTTATGTGTGCATATACAATTTATTACTCTAATTATTGCAGCAACTCTTCCAATCCTCAAGTATCTTTGGGAAGAAAATGCCTTAATGAAAGATGCTTCAACATCTAATTCTGCATCATCTGAATTGAACTTAGCAAATGACAAACATAAACATCAGCTTCACTTGAACTGGAGTTAATTACCACAATGTAAGAGGTAATTTAACTACAAATGCAAACTGCTGATCTTACCTGGACGTTGTCATAGAACAGAACATCAGGCACTTTCATTTTCTCATGGGCATCATAGATCGGTGCACTAACAGCTCCAATTCTCAGAGACCCAGATGTCACTTCACCTAAACATTTCACACAGGACAGAGGATTACCTGTAGCACTGTCCTCCGAGAAGCCAAGTCCAGTCCGAACAGAACATAATACAGCATCATTAATATACTGTGGACTCATCAAGGAATTTTAATCTAACATCCGAAAGAAATAAGCTTGAGGGTGGTAATAAAACATCATAGCTCTACATTAAAAGCTAACAAGCTCTACAAAATGGCTTTGTCCCCTTTTTGCTTTATTGATTGATTGATTGATTGGTGGGGGGAAATAATTAGATACTGATTTATTTTTAGAGGAGGTACTAGGGATTGAACACAGGACCTCGTGCATGCTAAGCATGTGCTCTACTACTTAAGCTATATCCTCCTCCTCCCCTGTTTGCTTTAAATAGTTGATCTAGAACAGAATATGAGCTCCCTGAAGCCATTAGCCAATTTATTAGGAAACTAATAAATTTCTTGAAGTCAGGGAATATATCTCACATGTACTCCCTACAGTAAGGAGATACGCATGCTCACTATCTGACACATTCCAAGGCCAATAATAATAACATAATAGTAGTAGTCGTTGTAGTAATGGTGGTCACAACAGAAGCTATCATTTACTGATGACCTTCTATGTGCCAGACCTCAGCTTCAGCTCAGTGTTTTCTCATTAATTTCATGTAAACCTCTCAACAAGGAGACAAGAATTACGAGGAAGCTAAGAAGAACGTGCATAGTAATCTGCTTAAAATCACCCAGCTAGTATGGGTAGAGCTAAAAACAGAATTTAGTATATAGTCTGATGTGCTTTCTGCCACATGAACTCCAAATTACATTCCATCCTGTGGAAACACCCAAGCAAACAAACAGACAAATACGTTGCCTTAAACAATTGACCCATCTTTTTTTCTAATCCTACTTCAAATAAGAAAATTGCCATTTTTGTGCTAAAGCACTTTGAAAGACAAGGGGAGAAAGCAACATTTACGTCTATGGAGTACTGTAAACAATTCTGAGCTAAAAATAACTAAACTGTCACACTGTTTAATCACTGCGGAGTGCTACACACTTGCTAAAGCACAGCAGAGCGGACCTCTCCTTCCAATAGATCTTTGCCATTTTCCTTCTATCCACAAGTTCTATAGGGAAGGAAAACCATGAGCTGCTGGGCTGAGAATTTGCTATTATTGACCACTTTGAGGTCTCTGAAATAGACCCAATATAAAACTGTAAAGGTAAAGACCAGGATTATGACAGTGAATTTACTACATCCTCGTATGTTGAGATGACACACATGATTTCAGCTTCAAACAGCATCTGATACCATCTACAGTTTAGTTTATGGAACATATTTATTTAGGAGATTTAGGGCTTTAGGCTAATTTAATTCACTCAGCTAACGTCTATTGCTAAAATTTCAAGCTAGAAAGGAAAAATGCACTCAGAGAACAGTGATGTTCCCTGGGAAAAAGCTGGCTAGCTGTCTTCTAAGAAGTCTCATAGGATGGCATTATTTTGGGAAATTGGTCGCAGGCTCAAACCTGATTTTATCATTACAACTGAGGGCAAACCTAACCCTCAGGAAAACACTAAAGACACATATTTTGATCTATACGTAAATCCTGATATGTAAAACCAGAATTGCAATATATGACATTGCAATGAAAACGACGACTTTCCTATAGACTATATGAGACACTGATTGCCATATCAGCATATTATTTGGAGGGAGACTTTCATGAAAAGCCAAATCCTCATTAGAAGGTTGTTTGGTGAACCTCGGCCTCAGAACAAGGAGAAATGAATTACACAAATTTTCCTTACAAGAGAGATGATTTTAAAGGTGAATGGGACCAGATGAGTCAAAAGTCTCCTCCTTAACCTAGGTTCCTTATCTCCTACACAAGGCTCAGATGGAAATGGCTAACACTGGCCTGTTACCAAGACTAAACAATCTATAGTTTGAATGATGCAGTCTTTCTTCAGATATGTTGAAGGATTCAATCAAGTAACATTATGACTCTCCCCAAGTCCCAGAGTTATTCTGTCTCTTTGTGTTGGCTCTGCATTATCTGTACCCAGATCCATCACAATGTTCAATTTATAATTTTACTCTAAAAATGTCATCTTATTCCCTTAATATCAAATTCTTG